TGCACATTGCCTTCTTCTCTATAGGTGTCTGTAATCCTCTGCATCTCCCTTAACAAGGATCCATGTGATTGCATTTATGGGCCATCTGGACCCCGAAGCGCATCACATCTTTTGTCATGTGAAGTCATAGCTACAGGTATCTTTGGGAGGGTGGATTTTTCCTGTCTGCCATAGTGAATGAATGGCAGGGTGATGACTGAGACCAGAGTTTGAGTCCATAGCCTTGGTGGTACAGCCATGTGCCTGCTCCCCCTCTGAAGCTGCAGGCGTTGTGACTCTTGACCCCTCTTCTGTGGTGTTTCTGAGCTGTGGTGGGGTGGAAATGAGAGTCTAGAGTGAAGCTGGCTCAGAATTTCCTGGCCCCTCAACTCAGCAGTTTGCCTTCTGAGAATGTGCCCTGAAATAGTCTTGTTAAGCTACCACCAAAAATGATAAAGTAGATCAAAATCTAGTGAAATGGGAAGATAGCCATGATGTTTTATTAAGAGGGAAGAAAAAAATACTGTGTGTGCGGAACATGTTGGTGGCTATTAAAAGTTAAATGAATATTCAATTGCTCAAATAGCATTTGACACATTTCATGTGCTCAGCACTCATCCAGGGTCTGTAGCTCTTGGAATAGTGCAAACAGAACTCTAACACTTTTACTGGCAAGAATTTCTCTCTGCTGTGACGTGGGAAGCAGGAGGCCTTTCGCCTTGCATGTTATAGACTTATGTGAATGTTTACGTTTATGATAATATATAAGCAAGTGCGCTGTCATTAGAAAAATAGGAGCAAGGGACAGCGGTCTCCAAGGGAGCATTCTGTTCTTCAAGCAGTTGGGAATTGCTGATGTCACTCATTTACCATGTGTGTTTGTGTGGGTATAGGTTTTCAAGCATGTTTCATAACGTCCATATTTTGAAATACACAGGAATAAACAATGACCCAGCAGGCACTATGGTGGGCCAAGCCTGGGGTTGGAAGCATTTTGCTAGGTCTGGGTCTCCCTGACCTGTGAGCTGTCCTGCCGTGGCTGTCTCTCAGCTTGGGTGAGCCTCACTTTCCACATCTGTGACAGGATTGTGGCTGCACCTGTCATAAAAGGTTAGAATAAGATTCATTTATTTATTTGAAAGTCAGAGTTATAGAGAGAGAGAGAGACGGTGAGAGATCTTCCATCTGCTACTTCACTCCCCAGATGGCCACAAATACCAGGGCCAGGCCAGACTGAAGCCAGGAGCCAGGAGCTTCTTCCAGGTGCCCCATGTGAGTGCAGGGGCCCAAGCACTTGGGCCATCTTCTGCTGCTTTCCCTGGTGCATTATCAGGGAGCTGGATTGGAAGCAGAGGAGCCAGCCCTCAAACCGGCACCCATATAGGATTAGGGCGCAGCAGATGGCGGCTTAACCCACAATGCCACAGTGCTGGCCCCTAGATTTAGAAGATTTAGAAGCTGTATAAAGTGTGGGAAGACTCTTTAAATCTGGGGGACCTGCTCCTCAGAGGCAAAGGATCAGTACCTAAGGTGTGATTTCCCCAATGCCTAGTGAGGCAAGACCTGAAGGTGCTGTGACCACAATGGGAGGAGTGGCTTCGTCTACCTCCCAGTGGTGTCTTTTCCCAGTGCTGCTGAGGTCTCCAGAAGCCGAAGCCAGGGTGCTTGTGTCCCCACTGCTCTTGCAGCTTGGCTATTTGGAATAATGAGGACAGTGTTTTATTTACTGAACAAAGCACTTAGGCAGTGCCTGCTATTTGCCAGGTACTGTTCCAAGTGCTTGATAAATATTTACTCATTTAAAACTCCTCCAACCCTGAGATAGTCATTGTTTGTGTGCTCATTTCATGTGGATGGAAATGGAGCCTCAGAGAGGTCAAGCCACTTGCCGAGGTCACGCAGTGCATGAAGGAGTCCATCCATGCTTTCTTCCTTTGCGCCTTCCCCTCCCTGCTCCTCTTGCCCCATCAATGTGGTCCTAACATTCCTTGGGGCAGCTGATCTATTCAGGGGCGTGAAATGTAAGCTTTGATATGAACTCTCTGGACTGCTGGTCCTGACTGGGTGGCTTCCATTCCAGTTTTCTGGCTGACTTTGGTAACATGGCTGAGTGGGGATGGGCTGGGGAATCCCAACAGCACTCAGTGATTTGCCGCTGGCTAGCTGTGTGCCTTCGGGCAGGCTACTTCCCTCCTCGGATCTTCACATGGAGTTTTCTGAGGGTTACCTGTGCTTGTTATGCCAGAGCCTGGCACCACACTGGGCAGGCAGTTGGTGCCTCATTAGGTTTCTTTTCCCCACATCTTTGTCTAAAGCAGTGAACTTAGGCTTGGGGATTGAGAGGTGGCAAAAGCTGGATGCCTGTCTCCATGGAGTCCACAGATTGGCCTAGGGGCGACTGGGGAACTTTCTAGATTAGGCATCTATGAACCTGACTTTTACCTTGGCCACCTTGGACAAATTTCCTTGCCCCTTTGCTGCCCTTTTGTCAGCTGTTAATGGAGCCCATCTTCTCATCTGTCTTGATTTGTCATATGTGGATCCGAGCCAGCCTGTGCCCCAGGGGCCAGTGCTGCAGCAGGTGGGTACAGCATGTGTCACTTCTCCCTTGAAGCCATGTTGGTCAGCAGTCCCCATGGCTCCCTCACTGTGGAACTCTGGGGAGGCCTCTCTGCTCTGTCCTGCCAGCTGCAGCCAATCAGTCTGAGAGTGATAGACGTGGGAGGTGAGAAATGAGAGGCTGCTCCTTGTTGTGTACGTGACTCTGCAGCTCTATGCCGCGGGAGCTGCAGTTGCCATCCTTTGGCCTTAAACTTCCTCTTATTTCAGAGAAGGGGTGTGTGTGTGTGTGTGTGTGTGTGTGTGTGTGTGTGTGTGTGTGTGTAGGCTGCCTGTGTGCTTTGCAGGGGCAAGGCGAATGGGGCAGGGGCGGCGAGATGTCACTGAGAAGTGGGTGGGGACAGGAGCTGCCCGAGAGCTTCGATGTCTCACAGCCTCCTGAGGCAGTGGGTTTTTGGCGGGAAGGCAGGAGGCCAAGACGTGAAACAGTCCTTCCTGCTCCCCTCTCTGCCTCCCTGGATCAGTGCCATGGGGTGGGAGGCAGCTCCATCTTCTCCAGTTTAAGATCCTCATAAAGGGCGTTCATATCCTGTAATTACACAGATGAGCTGTACTTAGCAGGCACATTTAAAAGAAGGGGGACGCAAAACGAGACCTGTTGTAATCGAGTGACCTTTCCTGGGCCAGTTCAAGGCTTCCGACGGGGAATCTGTGGTTTTAGTTCTTCTCTGCCTCTCCCACAGATTTGCATAGGTATTTCCAGATTCCACAGCGCTTTGGGAAGTTGTGGAGACTCTCTTTGAAAGTTAGGCCTATTATGAGTTCCTCAGCAATTATTAGGGTTCATTTCAGTAACAGTTGGCTCCTTGTGAGCATGAGGCAGAAGGAGAAAGACCAAACAAGAAAATGGTCCACAGTCTGCCTGCCTTTAAAACACAATGAGGAGGAAAGCCATTTCCTTTTGGGCGCCTGGTGCTATCAGATTCATGGTGCCTATTGTCCACAGATGGCCACCAGCATCTCCCAGATGCTTGCCCTGGATTGCCTCAGTGCCTGTTCAACAGCCTAGCTCCTCTCCCCACCACAGTAGGGAGTTTAATTTGGAAGCAACGTCATTGTTCCTCCTTCAAATGCCACAGCTGATGTTGACAATCATTTTCCCCTCCCAACCTGTCCTGGGGGCCCTTGTGGCTGGAATATCTCTTTTTCCTTCATCATTAGTTTTTGGGACATAGCAGAGTTGGCTGGTGAGAGAGGTGGCAGAGAGAACATTTCTGGGCTAAACCTATGAACCCCTCAAGACAAAAGTGATGATGACCTTGGAGGTGTTTCCTTCCATCCTTCACTCTGTGGAGCTCCAAAACTCATTGTCAGTCATTCATTTGGATCTGATGTTCAGTAAGAATAGGAGGCTGAAATCCCGGGTCCAAAAGAGCCATTGAGGGAAAGAAAACAGCCTGAAGGGAAACCACTAGCACTTGAGATGCTGTCTGCCACTCTGCTGAGCATGGCGCCCAACCACATCTCAGCTCTCCCCAGCCCTGTGGGGTTGGTGCTGTGGAGGGCTGAGGGCATTAGACTCAGTGTGTCCAAAGTCACGTAACTCGGGAGTGGCCAAGTTAAGATTTGAACCCAGGTGCACCCCAAAGCCACTGCCTTAAACCACAAAATCATAAAGTAGCTCATGACCCTACAAAGGGTGGTATCCTTGAACCTGGATTTAGATAAGCCAAGAGGAAAAGGAAGAGAATTCTGGGCAAGGGGAATAGCAGGTACAATCAAGAGCCTGGGAGAGGAATAAGAATGGCATGGGATAGGCCTGTAGGTTGTAAGTACCACAGGGCAGGCACATGTTCCCCAGAGCTGTCATTGTGTCTCCAAGTGCCTGAGCCAGTCCCTGGTGCATAGTAGACACTCAGTAAATATATATTGTCTGAATGAAGATACATAGTTACCTTCTCTATAGACTGTGAGTCTGGGGGCGAGGACTTACAGGTCTTTGGATTCTCTGTAATTCACTGGTGAACCAATAGTGCACGTTTGGCAAGTGTGTCCTGATGGAATGAATGAAGGAATGGGAAGTAAGGAGGGTGAGAGGCATTGGAATGCTGGGACCACACGGTAAAGGCACATCCTGGACTGTCTTCAGAGCTGGGACAAGGAGCTCCTATGTTCCCCTTGAGGTATATTTAAAGAGCCATCTCTTAAAACACCCTTGTGGGCTACAGAAACACAAGGAGGTGCCTAAAGCAACCAGAGTCAAGCACAGCTTAGAGATGGCTTTTCTGTAGGACTGGCCTCCACCTGGCCCCCTTGTCAGTGACTTCCTAGTTGGGGCAATCACACCATCACGACCAGAAAGAGAGCTGTAAAAACTGATGAATGGGAGGCGGGTGTGGTGGCAGATTTCCCCCAGTTCCTCAGCCCAGGAGTCCTCAATCAAGAATGCCCTCTCTTTCCAGGTGTTGGCTAAATTCGAGGTTTTAAGAAAGCCTGAGAGCCAGGAAGCATCCCCAGGAGAAGCCCTTCCTGTGGGCCGCTGGAACCTTCTGGTCCTAGAGGTGAAACTGAAACCTGCCCTGGACCTATGACCCGTGGCTTTGCTCCCAGCCTGCCTGTCGAGTTCCACAAGATGGGCTCCTTCCGCAGGCCCAGACCACGTTTCATGAGCTCTCCGGTGCTCAGCGACCTGCCGCGATTCCAGGCCGCCCGTCAGGCTCTACAGCTGAGCTCCAACTCAGCCTGGAACAGGTAAAGAAAGCAGCAGGTATGGGGGTGGAGGGCTGCCAGGGCTAGAGAGGGGCCGGGGACGCCTGCCGACTGGCTTGCTCCTGCCGCAGCTGGGATCTCTCTTCTTCTGGAAGGGGGTGATTAGAGGGCAAAGCATGAAGAGAGTGGTTTTCTTATCTCCAAGGCCTCTGCTAGCTTTCCGTGTCCTAGTAGCTGGGAAACAGACTTCTGGAGCCTCTGTCCTATGCAGTCGGGCAGCTGGATTGGAATTTAGGGTTAGAGATCATGTTTATTAGTGACACCCCAGACTTTCAGACTGTTCCACGGTGGAGTCCTATATGAGGGCTCTTCAAAAACTTCATGGAAATTGTGTATATGATGAAAAAACCCTGCCTGGATTTCAAAGTTATTTTGCAGCAAAATAAGCCTTTTTTTCTTTTTTTTTTCCCATTTTCCCACAAACTTTTTCAAGTACCCTTGTGTGTCTTTTCTGGCCAAATAGACAGTAGGTGAGTTGAGATTACCTGTGTATCTGTGAGCAGCATCAAACAGGGATTATGAGAACCTGTGAGCCACCAATGCTTGGGAGAGGAGCTGCTGTAAGCGTCTGGCTGACCTTGTCACCAAGCCTCGAGCAGAGACTGCATCACTGCTGTGTTTTATATACTCTTGTGGCTCTTTTTCAAATGTATGCAGACTCTGTAGGATCCTTCTTTTCCAGATTACTGAATTCTTTGTAGTTGTGGACATTGTTGTAATTTTCCAATGAATGGAGCAGAGAAAGATGAGGATGGAGAGGGGGCGCTGAAATGTTTGGGTAGTCAGTGCATCTTTATACTTTAAAGGCCCGGAAGCCTTGATGTGGACAAGGTGGCAATCAGCTCTTTTGCTGTCATATTGGGCTGAGGTCCCTGAGGATGAAGGGTCTAACTGATGCCATAGGGGCCTGAGCCGCACACTGCACAGGGGTGAGAATGGGAGGGGCCACACCGGCTTGCCCACGGCAAATTCTTCCAATGAAAGTGCTGTTGGAAAGGCATGCAATTACCATTTTGCGTTAGCCCCAGACCTCCAACCTGCCCTGTGAAGACAGTGGTCTCTTAGGAGGGAGAACTCTTGGCCCAGGTCAGCTCCCACTTGATGTACATTCCATTTCTGGACTCTTCCAGTCCTTGAGGTGCTGGCTCCACAGTTTCCTGTGAGCAGCTCTGACTGCCTGCTCCTTTTAGGTGCCAGTAGGACTGCCAGGGAGGAAGACCTGCTGGCTTGTGAGATAGCAGTGGCTACTTTTGAGTCCTTTGCCTTTAACTCTTCCATCCCCTCCAAAGAAGGAAATTAGGGGTCCCCTGGATGGATGATGAGGCCATGTTTGTGCCAGACACAGGCTCTGCATCTCCCTTCAGTCCTGAGCTGCTAGCTGAAGTGGCCCCACAAGGCATATTCTCTAACCAGGGGTTGTTTGATTTCCCTGCAGTGTCCAGACTGCTGTGATCAACGTTTTCAAAGGGGGTGGCTTGCAAAGCAATGAGCTGTATACACTGAATGAAAACATCAGGTAAGTGGAAGACCTGGAGCTGTTTTCCCACCATGGGCCTGAGCAGGAACAGGCAGGACTACGCCACCAGGAGCTTTTCCTTATGTTTGCTTTTTCTCCTGCTTCATTCCTGTTGCTGTTTCTCTCAACTAGTAGATTGTCCTTGAGACTGCTGACTGACACAGGAATGGGTCACCCATTTGTTCATGTTCACAAGGGGCAAGGGCAGAGGTTTGGTGGAGAGTGGTGTTGTTTATTCTTTGCACATTTATTGTGCTCTGATTATTGGTGTCATGATAGGCAATTTGGCTAGTGGTTGGAACTGGCCTGTTTGGGATTTATTGCTGTTCTTTCTACTGAATGACTTCCCAACAAGTATCTAAGTGTCTCCCTGTTGGTCAGGCTCTGAGATCAAAGACAGATGAGGACCCTGTCCTCCTGGTGTTTATTTTCAGTCTGGGCGATAATGATTATTCAGCTAATCACACACATAGAATGTAAAAATGTGACTGTGACGCTGCTACAACACCGCAGGTGTGATGAAAGCATAAGTTAGCATGACTCGATCTTACCAAGGAAGCCAGGAACAGTGGGTAGGATGCCAGTGCTGTGATCTGAAGGATCAGTGGGAGTGAGCTGAGTGGAGAGGGCTCCAGGTGGTAGAAACCACAAGTGCCAAGATCCTCCAGTTGCCATGAGCAAGGAACTGAAAGAGGGCCCAGGTGCACAGAGCACTGGAGGTTGGGTTGTGGTACCCCTGGGTTTGTTTTGGTGAATGGAGGGTGGAAAGTCAGGCAGGGCTCAGAGCACCAGGATCTCCTAGGAACAGGAGGTTGAACCATCAGGTCTTCTGATGCCCTTGTAGTCATCTCTCTCTGGGCGCTTTAAGTGCATAACATCAAGGTTATAGACCAAACCCTGGAGTAGGCTGAAAAATAAACAAGGCTGTTATTCAGGTCCTGTTTATTACATTTAGTTCAGGCCAGTGTTGAGAGTCAGTGGGGTGTTTTAGGAGTGCTGCTTTCATTAAAAGCTTTGGGGCTCCTAGATAAGCAGAGCTGTGTTAACTTTCTACCCATGTTCTTGAATTTCACTTCATAATCACAGAAATTTGGAAACAGACAAAAGAGGTCATCTAGTCCCTGGTTTTATTTCACAGAGGAGGAGACCATGGCCCCAGGAGTTGAGTGACAGGGCCAAAGCTGGGTCAGCTCTAAGAAGGAAGATATGGGCCTTTCCATGCAGGTTTTCAGCTCACAATAGAAGTATAAATAAATAAAAGAGTTTCTCAGGAATGTGCTAATTGTCCCTCCCTCCAGGAGACGATCCTGAAATTGTACTTAAAAGCTCTATTTGTGGGCAGCTAGGGAAAATACAGGCCCAGCCACACTGTTAGGGCAGCTCTGTTAGCCCCTGAGCTGCTAACAGCCTGCAGGTGCCAAGTTGGTTTTCTAAGTGGGAGAAGCCGGCCTGGGTGTGTGGAGATGAGGTCTCACCCTTTGTGGCAAGGGAGTGAACACACGACACAGTTCCAGAGACAGCTCATGGTGTTTCTCAAGAAGAACTGGAAAATGAGATTTTTATGTGAAGTTTCCTGACTTTTAAATGTTGGTAAACACTCCAGATTTCATCAAACATTGGTGCAGGCCAAACAAAACACATCTGTGGACTGAATGTTATTACTAGGCCAGCCTTAGCGTGCATGGAGGAGGTACCGTAGGGAGGTGGGGGTGGGGATGGGGGTGCAGAGTCCCAGGCACCTCTGGGGACCTTTCTTGTACATCTACATATTCATCTCTCTTCACTTTGTTAGGAGTCGTTTACAAATGAGAAAGTCATGGGTAAGAGAAACGAAATAACCTGCCCGAGGTCGCCCAGCTATAAACAGTGGAGTCAGGATTTGAACTCCTATCTGACCTAGACACCTGTGCTGTCTGCTCTGGCTACTGTGGCAAATACCTTAAACTGGATAGCTGAAACCTCACTGCTCTGGAGGCTGCAAAGTCCAAGGTCAAGACATCGACCAATGCGTCTCCTGGCTGAGGGCCCTCTTCCTGCCTTGTAGGTGGCCACCATCTCTGCGGGTGTTCACACAACCTCTTTGTATAGATGAGGATGGCAGCGAGCAAGCTCTCTGGCATCCCTTCTTGTAAGGACACTGATCTCATCATGAGGGCCCCATTATTGAACCCTAATCACCTTGAAAAGACCTCATCTCTAAATACCACCAAATTGGGGACTGCTGCTTTGACCTGTAATTTGGCGGAACTCAGAATAACATCCCTGCCTTTCACAGTGCTGCACACGATGCTGCAGTGTGAGGGAGAAAGTCTTACAATGAGAGGAGGGGAAGCTGATGGCTCTGAAGCTGATCTGCCTTTGTTCCTTCTGTTAGGCCTCTGGGAGCCGGTCTCTTCCTGTGCTCTGTGATTATCAACACCCCTCCTGAGAAGCAGGCTGTGCTCCCAACCGTCCTTTCCAGGGTTGGGCTTGGGCTCCCATTGGATGCTCCTCTCTGTTTTGAGCAATTTGAGGAACGTAGCTATGCTTGGGTTTGAAGCTATTTGCTCAGAGGTGAATTGAGCCCAGATTAAGCCAATGCTCTCAAGTTTGGGAGCCCGTGTTTCTGTGCTCCCCATCTCCTGAGCCTCTTTAACACAGGGTTAGAGGGAAGACAGGCTCTCCTATCACTGAGACTCAGATATAGCTGAGAACGAGAAATACATCCCGAGCATTTATGTGACCTGGATGTCCCAAGCTGAGTGAGTGAGCTGACCCTCATGTGCTCCCACATCTGCAAGTGCCTGTGGGGGAATAAACACAGCTGCCCTTGGTTCTGTCTCTGAAGCACAAGATGGGCATGCTGCCCTTTTTTACACTCAGGCAGACCCTGGGTTTTGATTTTTTATTTTGAAAGACCTGTTTGCAGAAGAGATCTGTGAGCTCAACAGGACTTAGGCATGAGGGTGGGAGAGAAGGCTAAGTTGTTCTCATCCCCATTTGGTTTTCTTTTCTGAATCACTTGGGCCATCTTCCACTGTTTTCCCTTGTGCATCAGCAGAAAGCTGAATTGAGAGTGGAGCAACTGGGACCTGAACTGGTGCTGATATGGGATGCAGGTGTCACAGATGGTGGCTTAATTTGCTGTATCACAATACCAGACATTCATGCCCATTTTCCCACCAATTATGTCAGTCCCATTATGTGCCAGATGTTATCTGCTAGGTTCAGTAGAATTGACTTAACAGAGCAGATTCTGGATACAGAGAGACTGGGGATCAAGATAGCTAGCTCTGTGACTATGGGCAAGGTACTTCATTTTTCTGTTTTTCTTTTATACGTTGAGGATAACTATAATAACACCAGCTCCATATGGTTAGGAAGATTGCGATAATGCTGAAGTGTCCTTGGTACAGGATCTGATGCACAATAAATGTTTCATAAATGTTAGTCATTATTATTCTCGTTATTGTGAACACTTCAGGATGATAAAATGATAAATGATGGGTGAGTCCCACACATGAGAACACAGGACACTGTGATGAATTTCCCCATGCTCAGTACCCTATAAAGATTTCTCCATAGTTTGAATGAGGTAAGCTCACTTTGAACTAGTGAGTGTGCTTGGAATTGAAGTTGGGGCGAGGCTGAGTTCTTAAAAGAGGAGCCAGCTGTTTGTCCTTTCTGAAGAGAAAAGAACAAGAGGAAGTGACTGTCTCAGTCCTCTGTTTTACTCAAGCCAAATGGTAATGAACTTCTTGGTGCATTATCCAGGTTTGGCATCAAAGCCTACATCTGCTTCCCTCAGTTACCCATCCCAGCCAGCCCTGGCCATATTTCTCAGAGTGGAGTTAGTATGCATCTGAGAAATGTGAACTTATCCAAAGATCACCCGATGCCAAGGAAGACCAGAGAGGGAAATATAACTGAGACCTGTAATGGGGTCATTACAAATAATTGACTGTTTCTTCTAAGTTGTGTCATTGAAAATGATCTCTAAGTTTTAGCAGATGGACTTTGAAGTAGCCGTGAGGAAAAACTGGATTGATTATGGTCAGGATCTAAAACACAGTGTTTAATTCAGAGACAGATATCTCCATACATTAAGAATAAATGCACTGGGGCCAGCATTGTTGCATAGCAAGTTAAGCTGCTGCCTGCCGGTATCCACATGGGTGCCTATTTGAGTCCCGGCTGCTCCGCTTCCAATCTAGCTCCCTGCTAATGTACCTGGGAAAGCAGCAGAAAATGGCCCACATGGGTGACCTGGAAGAAGCTCCTGGTTCCTGGATTCAGCCTGGCCCAGCCCCAGCTGTTGCAGCCATTTGGGGAGTGAACCAGCAGATGGAAGCCCTCTCTCTCTCTCTGTCTCTCCCTCTCTCTCTCTCTCTGTAACTCTGCCTTTCAATTAAAATGAATCTTTCTAAAAAGGGGGAGGAATAAATCCATCAGTAATGTCAAATCTTAATATATCAGCCAATGTCTTTAAATAAAAGTCAAGGCAGGTGGATTGTTGATAGGAAAACCGTAAATCAGAATATTTTCCATTGGAAATGCTGTAGAAAAAAGAAGAGCCTTTATGTTATGATATCATGTAAGGAAAGAAAGTAACCTTTTAGAGTAGACATTTTCTGGCTGAATCCCCAGTCATCAAGGCTATAATCCTGGCTTCTCTGGATTCTGTGTGTCCCAGTTTGGGTGGATCCTGGGTGTCTTCTTGTTTGAATTCTCTGTGGGGCATTGAAGTGGTTTTCACCACCCCTGCTCTAGCCCCACCCCTGATGTGTGGGTGATATGGCAGTGGGGACAGGACTGGGTTAGAGGCTGGACTGCATGAGCCTTCCAAGAACGAGTGGCTAAGCTCTTTGACGTAGGAACACACTCTTCCTCAAGAGTCTGCAGCCAGCACTTCCAGGGATTTTATTAAAGGAACGTTTGTGGCATGCTCTGCTTTCTCCTGGGCCGTGTTCTGGGGTAGCCCTTTAGGCAAGTGGTCCTGCTCTGAGGGAGCTCATAGCAGA